GAAACCTTCGAAAACAGCTGATCCGAATGACTTGGTGTATGCCAGCGTCACCCACAGCAGACCCAGAGAACCCCAGAGAGCTGGAGATGAAGACGAGTTTCAGTACGCCAGCGTCCAGCACCACAGAAACACCAGGTACACGACTGTGGAGGCCGGATGTCAATATGGAAACACTGTTTCTGCCGGGTGAGACACACTCCATCATATAGCATCAATAGGGTTAAAGATGTGAACAAACACACAAACTCTCTTTCTTATTAAGAAAAATGAGGCACAGGTAGCTTAGACGAACAAGTGTTTATGGGTGCACAACATGGTTCATCTTGTTTTGTCTTTTTTATTCTTATTGAACAGATCAAATGCTGAAAAGGCGGATGATTCCGATGTGATCTACAGCAGCATCAAAGTTGCATGAAGAATCGGAGCATCACTGAACATGCTCCTCCATTTTCCTACATTGAAGTGGGCATTAAATAGAAGTTGCGACTAAAAAGCGATTCCGCTTAACAAACAAGACTTTATTGTATACATCGGATAGGCCTACATATGGATGGATCGAGCACAGAAAGATGCATTAAGAAAATAAATAGGGTGAATTTAAATTTTTACTTTGTATTGACGTTTGAGTTGAAATGCGCTTGTGTGACCGTGTGCGGTGACTTTAAATACACAACACTTGTGTGAGAAACAGGACGTGAAACTATAAGAGCTGTGAGCAAGCATATGCAAAACTTCCATTTCTGAATGGAGGAGAGGTTTAATTACGCTGAATAAACTGCTTTTGTGAGGAGACTTACGCTTAACATTTTATAGTCGGCTAATCTTTGCCAAAAATGTTTTGTCAAAGCAAACATGTTTAGCATGTTCTCACACAAGTCTTTAACAATAGTGAATTGGATGCTGTATTTACTTCTTGCATTGTCTGAAACTCTATTCTTATTTCTAAAGGTGAACTGACTTGTTGAGAAGAGGCGCAAACACTGAGATAGAGGAAGGCTGGCGTTCATTTTTGATGTGATATTCATTAATAGTTCAGCAGTTTAGCAGCAGTTTAACTTCCCGTCATGCTGCTGTTCTTATCATTTCTTATCTGTGACCATTCCTTCATGTTTATACTACGTTTAGAAGAGTTAAAAATGTATAGAAAGGATTGAGTAAACAATAAAATAAGGTATATTGTGTGTTTGGTGAATGCTGGTTTGATCAGTATTGTGTATCCTGTACATAATTATGAGTGAAGCTCTTTAAACCAGTGCTTCTCAATCAGGGGCCACGGGCCAATAGGGGGGGTCATGAGTTGATATTAACTCCAGAAGCTGAATATTTGATATAGATACATATGTAAATATTGTGTGAAGCTCTTTAGACACACAAGGCCTGACATGAGAAACATCAGCGCACGTCAAGCCTTCAATGAGCAGTGAATTAATCTGAAGTCATTATGATCTCTGTCTATTGATTAGCAACACAATAAAGTTTATGATGTTGTATAGATGATGCTCATAATGTCATAATTGTTTTATGATTGCAGAAATCACTATGGTGACGTCACTCGTAACGTCTCTTCCTCTGATCTTGGTGATCATGACTGCGGGTGAGTCTTCAGTTTCAGTCACTAAACAGACACTTTAACACTCGTGAAAAGCTGATTGAGCTCTTCACACTTTGTAGCTCTTAAACGGACATGAGTGTTTCACTGTCAGCTAACATATAAAAATGTTCAAAATGAAAAGATAATTTATATGCATTGGTTCAAAACACCTGAAAAACCACCTAATTTTCTCAGTTCTGTGTTTCAGGGGTTGATGGTCAGCAGTATTGGGCAGTGAATTATAGTCCTTCATATGTTTGTGCATTAAAGGGTTCAACAGTGAAAATGTTCTGTGTTTTAAACCATCCACATCATTATAAGCTCACAACAGCCTTCTGGACCAAACCTGCTGTAACTGATGGAGATCCACCGAACCTGTGTTCAGACCCAGAAAAGAGTGGAAGAGTTCAGTGTAGAGTATCAGGGGCCACGGGCCAATAGGGGGCCTCAGAGATCCTCCAGGCCTACAGTAAGTGTGCAGTCAGGTTAAAAGCGGCTGCTTTAGTGGTGTTTTTGCACCCCCCCCCTGTGGTGCTGTTTGGTATGGCAGCTGGATTTGTGCTTATTTGTTCAAGTTACTGTATAATTGAGCAGGGTAGCTTAAATGCTTTTGAAGTTGTAAAAAAACATGAGCTTTGAATATGTTTAATATATAAGTTAGCTATATAAGTATAGCTTTAATGTACAAAGTAAATTTGCAAAAAATAATACTGAAGATTTAAATCTATCTTGTATTTACTTAAATAGCAATAAGTTGACAACAAGACACGTTTTTGTGTGCATGTGTTTCTGTACTGCATGTGTATGCTTGCAAAAAGAGAGAGAGGTGGAGAAAAACAGTGCGCTTTGCATAGATAATAAATGATACACACACACACACACGCAGTTTCTCAGATATTTCTGGTTTCATGATTTATATTATCAATAGTTAGTATAATCCTGCAATGTATTTCTAGTTTAATCTTTAATTTAAGACATTTGCATGACACTGTACTGCATCTCTTCATTATTTTCCAACCTTCCAACACAGAATGATTGCTTTCGGTCTCTAGATCTGTGGTGTTTGAGGAAATCCTGAAGATGTTGCACTGAATACGACACTAGATGTTGTTCCACATCCTCATCTGTAGATGTGTGTGCGGTAAGTTGAATTGTGTAAAGTGCAGCTGCTGTTCAATGATGCTCACATGCTAAGTGTTGCTAAAGTTTGCATGAGATACACTTATTTGTGATCTTTTTTAAGCCCCAGTGTGTGATATTGATATTGTGTTTTATGCAATCAGTTTATAAGTGAGTTTCAAACAGCTGATATTCAATCTTAAATCACAAGGTTTCATTTTCAACTTCAGTATTTTGAATCTTTAGAGCAAAATAACCCCATTTACAACATTTGGCCATCATTTACTCACCTTCCAAAGTGATATGCTTTTCATGTTTGACAAATATATGTTTGAGAAATATATAAGTTAAATGTGTATTTGCTTTGTGTAATATTTGCTGTCTTAAACCTCATTGCTACCAATCTCATCCAATGAATTATGTAATAAATAGATCAAATAAACAGATTTTTTTTGAACAGTCAGTCAGTTGGTTTAGAGTCCAAATTCAAAATGAACCGAGTGAAAATAACCTAGTTTGTTTTGTTTTTGCTTCTCATTGTCCCTGATCTTAAAAGTGAATTTAGATGGTCTTAGTTGACTTTCCATTTTGCTGAAACTGCTAAAACAAGTCAGTGTGTTTGATATGTGTTTGTACTGTGTTTTTTACCCTTTTCTTTGTCAAAAGATAATAACTGGGCAATAACTGTGTATTAACCCCTTAACCTAAACCTAAACCAAACCCATGTAATGACCTTTTATTGCTTCTAATATCAGCATGTTGTCTAACAGTCAGACTGCTGTAAGAGGCAGCAAGATGCGCTTCATCTGTTTGACCACTAGATGACAGTAAAGTCAATGGAAGTGCAGAAAAGATTGGAGTAATCCCAGTTTCTTCATTTTTGGGAATCTTTCAATAGATCAGTTCTTTTAGAAGAACAATACTATTTTTACTTGATGTTTTGTCAGTCTGGTAGTGTAAGTGCTTGTGTTGTCTCTCTGAGACTGGCTCTGACCCACTGAAACACAGTGTATTTGCTCATGATTGTGGTACATGAGGTTGTGCTGCACCATCGCTCCATGTGTTAAACTCAGAGTTTGAGTCAGAAAGAGGAAGTGAATCTAAGAGTTCTAAACTTTCATCTCTTAAAAACCCACTCAGACGCTCCTGCAGCCATAATGAGCATCTTTACACAGTTCTTTCTCTCATGTTTCACACGTTCTCTCACAAAGATTTAACTACAGTGAATTCTAAAGCTTCTTATTTGTTTGGATCTGGAGACTTTTCGAGTTGTGCTTATGTAGTTGAGATGGCGTCACACATATCCAGGAAGAGGAAGAGAAATATTTTTAACTGCATTTTCAAGTGTGAAAACTAGTCATTTGACTCTTTAAGCTGCTGATATTTTTGTCATTTGGGTGTCGACCCTCAGACATTGACACAGCAGCGCGGTAAGACCATTTTATTTAACATTAGGTAAAATAATAGGGCTACAACAGATTATTTGTAAAAATGTGGTCATGAGTTGATATTAACTCCAGAAGCTGAATATTTGATATAGATACATATGTAAATATTGTGTGAAGCTCTTTAGACACACAAGGCCTGACATGAGAAACATCAGCGCACGTCAAGCCTTCAATGAGCAGTGAATTAATCTGAAGTCATTATGATCTCTGTCTATTGATTAGCAACACAATAAAGTTTATGATGTTGTATAGATGATGCTCATAATGTCATAATTGTTTTATGATTACAGAAATCACTATGGTGACGTCACTCGTAACGTCTCTTCCTCTGATCTTGGTGATCATGACTGCGGGTGAGTCTTCAGTTTCAGTCACTAAACAGACACTTTAACACTCGTGAAAAGCTGATTGAGCTCTTCACACTTTGTAGCTCTTAAACGGACATGAGTGTTTCGCTGTCAGCTAACATATAAAAATGTTCAAAATGAAAAGATAATTTATATGCATTGGTTCAAAACACCTGAAAAACCACCTAATTTTCTCAGTTCTGTGTTTCAGGGGTTGATGGTCAGCAGTATTGGGCAGTGAATTATAGTCCTTCATATGTTTGTGCATTAAAGGGTTCAACAGTGAAAATGTTCTGTGTTTTAAACCATCCACATCATTATAAGCTCACAACAGCCTTCTGGACCAAACCTGCTGTAACTGATGGAGATCCACCGAACCTGTGTTCAGACCCAGAAAAGAGTGGAAGAGTTCAGTGTAGAGTTCAATATAAAGACACTTACAGAATCACTTTGACGAGTGTAACAGAAGCTGATAAACACATCTACTACTGCAGATTCACTACAAACAGAGGAACATGGACGGGGATTCCTGGAGCTCGGCTGGATGTCACAGGTAGAGCTAGTGAACTCTCACAAATACACCACAGACACAAACACACACATCAAGCACTTTATCATGTAACTCCTACTGAATGACATTCTTTCTTTTGAATACAAAGAGAAATGTTAAATTAAATGAGTACTAATTCATATAATGACTATAAAAGGTGAAGATGACTTCTTCATGCTTTAAAAAATGTTTCAAAACTGTAGTAAAATAACATGATTTTTGACTTACATTGCCAAGTGTTCTGAAGCTGTGTGATAGGGTTCATCAAGAAACAAAGGAGCAAACTGAAGTGTCATTTCTTATTTAGCAAAAAATCTTGACCTCGCAGCAGTTCTTGTTACTGCATACGTTTGCGTATAACGTGGAGGCATGACAATGGAGTTGGTGGATCCAAATGCAGGCTTTATTTTAAAAAGACGTGGTCAAACAGGCAGGATCGAAAACCAGCAAACAATATAATCCAAGCCAGACTCAAAAGAGTAATCCACAAAGCAGGCAGCAAACAATCACAGGAAACCAGGTAAACAGTCAAAGGATGACAACCACAGGCAAGACAGAAAACACAAAAGACGTTACAGGTTAACAATACTCAGCAATCTGAGTGTGTGTGTGCATCTTAAATAGTCCTCCGTATACGAAACAGGTGTTAACAGATAATGAGTTCCTGGGCAGAGGGAACCTGGAAAATGGAGTCCGGGGTGAGTAATGACGGTAAAGGGGTGGAGTGCCCTCTAGCAGAGCTCATGGTCACTCCTGCTGATAATTGTAACAGTGTGAACTATTTTGAGAAATCAAAAACAAGATCTGAAACACAGCATCTAAGGAGCTTGCTTGTAATAATAAAAAATAAAAAAATAAAATAAAATCAATTACATTACAGTTTCTTTCTCATTAAAACCAGTCGTATGTCACTTGGAATATTTAGTATGAGTTGCATGGGAGTGTTTTTTATTCTTTTGCATCCTGTTTTTAAAGCCTGAAGATGGTCACCATTCACATTCACATATCATTTCATCTGTTTAACTTGTATTAACTTAGAGCTGTATTTTACTGATATATGAAATTATCTTTTTGTCAGAGGAGATTAGTTTTTGTCTTGACACAGTCACTTGTGATTATAAGAAACTAAAGAAAGAGATTATAGGAAGTAATGCTAGATTCCGTGTTCATTTGGGCCCAAAGACATTGATTGTGAATCTGCTTTGAAATGATTTTGTGTTGTGAAACGTGCTATACATACACTATAAAAAATTATTGTGATATTAACGGTAAAAGACTGTAAAAATGCCACAGTAAAAACCTATTAAATGATTAACAGTAAGTTTCCTTACTATATACGGTGAATAACTAATAGATCTAACCTTTGTTTTCAATAGCCTCTGATGCGACACACAGAGACTGTGTCTGAAATCACACCCTACACCCTCATTCACTATTCCCTACATGAGTTTACTAATACAGTCCACCTGACAGAGAATGAACACTAATGAGTGAACTCAGCCAATGATGAACAGCTGCTGTTAACAAGCAGAATCACTGAAGAAAAGAGCAACACAAGAACTACAACTGACTTCAGACACAGACTTAGATGAAATCAACTGAAATAAAACAGCAGATGATGATTAAACAACTCCACAAACAGCATTACCAGCTTAACTCATTACTAACCAGTTTGACTTTATTTCTGTCATATATCTACAATTTTTTTTTGAGAATTAACAGAGGTGTATTTTGTATTGGAAATGTTTTGTTTGGCCTCACCATTTTGGCGATCAGTGGTGGCTTTAGTTGGGCTCTTGACCCTTGACTCTTTATGGTTACTGTGTTTGCAAAACACATTTGTTATGACAAGAAAAACTGAGAGAAATTGCAATGAAGTGGTTTTAATAATCATTAATGATGAAGTAATGATGATTTCATTTTGCTTGACCTGATTTACTGATCTCAGCTTGTGTCTAATTTAATGGGTAAATTAATCTTTAATATATGGTACTAATATGACGCTACAAGAAATGTTGATGTGAAGGAAGTTATAAATCTTTAGAGCTACAGTAGCTTTTAGACACACACAGACATCAAGAATCAGCACATGAATCTCAACAATGGTGACTATTAATAAAACATTTTTTATAATGTTTTAATAAAACCATGCCGCAATGCATGCTGGGTGCCAGTACAAAACTCCCAGCATGCATTTTTATTTTTTTTGATTGTCACCAATGTTGAGATTCATAGGCTGAATGTTGATGTCTGTGTGTGTTCAAGTGCTGCTGTAGCTTGAAACTTTTATTTGTGCATGTAGTGCTTAGGAACATTTCACAGAGATTGTGGCGGTATCAGTGGTGCAACTCAAGAGTATTAGCAATATATCACACACTTAATAAAATATAAAACATTAGTTGAGATCAGTGAATCAGACCAGTTCAGGATAGTCTTGACATCACAAACACCAGCTTTATCTGATCATAGATACGTTAGGCTTTTCTTGCTATAAAAACTGCGTTAAACAAACACGGCTAATTTAAACAACCAACGAAAAACTATTTTTAAAAAGTCAAGGTTCAAGAGCCCAACTAAAGCAAACACCGATCGCCATTATGGTGACTTCAAATTAAAGTACAACACCTAAAATCTCAATAAGAGCTTGTGTACACATATGACAGAAATAAAGTCACACTGGTTAGTAATAAGAAGCTGGTGATGCTGTTTAATCCTCCTCTGCTGAGATCTTGATCAATTTAATGTGTTTTATTTTCAGTTGATTTCATCTTTGGCTTTGGCTGTAAGTTGTATTTCTCTGCTCTTGTTTCTCTTTCCTTCAGTGATTCTGCTTGTTAACAGGTGTTCATCACTAATGCTCAATCCTCATTTAATTATCTCATTAACTTCATCACCGCTTCAGTGTCACTTCAACACTCTGTAGTATGGACACATATAAGTGCTCTTTAAAACTGAGGATTTTGCTGTGGGATTAAAGGGGTTAAATGTGTGAGATGAAAAAAAAAACACTGTGAATTGTATTTTTAACAGAAATATACTGTTAATTTAATTTATGAATGCAAACTGTAAAAAAACATTAGATTACTGGCAACCACAGCTGCCGGTATTTCACCGTAAAATCAAGAAAAGAAAACAGTCAACTTCCTGTTGTGTTTTGTGGGTCACCATTGTGCTGGAGAGCAGAGCCTGTGTTTAAGTAAAGGACGGACAGAGTAACATTGCTGTTGAACTGCTTGATGTTTTGTTTAAAGGCAGTAACTGTGTAGTTATAGCTGTAGTGTGAATCTCTTTAATAATTTCAATCACACATGAATGTGTGCTGTTGTTAATTGGAAGAGATTTGTGTTGAAATGATGGTTTTAATAACTTTGCATAATTCAGTAGAGTTTTCTTCATGGTTTTAAGCAGAATAGTTCTCGTTACCCATATGCTTGCATTATTTAAACATTGTAAATATTAATTTATAGACAAATGCTAGTTAGCCACGTTAAGTGCAGTCGGTTTCTGCAAATAAAGTGAGTTAATTCAAAGGTTTGCATATTAACATCGTATCAGTTAATGAAATACTGTTTTTCACTGTAAATTTAAACAGTTCTATAAAACCTAAAATGTTGCTTCCATATTTTTCACGGTAAAGTTCTGGCAACCACAGCTGCCGTTATTTTTCTGTAAATTTAACAAACTTTTTTTACAGTATAAACAAGAGTTGAACTGCTATTAAATGGACAATCATTCGCAGGACATTTGTTAACATCTTCTGAAAAAGAAAGGAGTCATGAACGGCTTTAGAACAACAGCAGAGTGATAAATAATGACTGAATTTTCATTTTTGAGTGAACTATCACTTTAAGCCAAGTACTGCTCACTGCTGAGCCAAATGGCCTCCAGTTTCCCCTCTCTGGATGTCCAGCTCCACCTCTGTGGAACTAATGATGGACGGGGATTCCTGGAGCTCAGCTGGATGTCACAGGTAGAGCTAGTGAACTCTCACAAATACACCACAGACACATAAACACACATTATGTCACCTGTTATTCCAGGAGCTCAAACAGTAAAGCAGAGCGCTAGTAATGCCAAAGTCATGGGTTCAATACCCAGGAAATACATGCACTGATGCAATGTTTAGACACTTTGGATAAAAGCAAATGCATTATTCTTTTCTAGTTTCATCCTCTTAAAATTTCAATTATTATAACACTAAATTATGTATTTTTTAGTCTGATTGTGAATCAGTGAGTTGTTGCTGTTGTCAGATCTGCAGGTGGAGACACAGAAGAGTGTGAAAGAAGGAGATTCAGTCCGTCTGATCTGTAAAAGCAGCTGCTCTCTGCCTCAACAAACAACATTCATCTGGTACAGAAACACACAGAGATTAAGTACAGGAATCATCACAGTGAATCAGCTTCAAAATCTTGATCTCGCAACAGTTCTTGTCATTGAACAAGTGCGCACCATTTAGAGAATCCACTTGGAATATAAAATATGAGTTGCATGAGTGTTTTTGAATGCTTTTGCATCCTGTTTTTAAAGCCTGAAGAAGGTCACCATTCACATTTCATTTCATCTGTTTAACTGAACATGACTTGCATTATGTTAGAGCTGTACATTATTGTTATATGATATTATGTTGTTGCCAGAAGAGATTAGTTTTTGTCTTGACAGTCACGTGATTAAAAGAAAATAAAGGAAGAGATTAAAGGAAGTAATGCTAGATTATTTATTTGGCTGCAAAGACATTGTTTCATTGAAGCATGCATCGGCTGTAAAGCTTTGAAATGATTTTGTGTTATGAAAAGTATGATACATGTAAACACGAATTGAACTGCTATTAAACGGATAATCTCAAGCAGGACATTTTTTAACAATGTGTTCTGAAAAAGAAAGGAGGACACATGGCTTTAGAATAACAGCAGTTTTGTTTTTGTGTGAACTATCACTGTAAGATGATGGTGAAATAGAGAAATAGAGAAATAGAGTTGTTGCTGTTGTTCTGTCAGACCTGCAGGTGGAGACACAGCAGAGTGTGAAAGAGAGAGATTCAGTCACTCTGAGATGTAAAAGCAGCTGCTCTCTGCCTCAACAAACAACATTCATCTGGTACAGAAACACACAGAGATTAAGTACAGGAATCATCACAGTGAATCAGCTTCAGCTGCGGTCAGTCAGTCGTCATGATGCAGGAAACTATCAGTGTGCTGTTTCAGGATATCAACGTCTGAAGTCTCCACCTGTTTATCTTCAAGTACGATGTGAGTACAAACTGATTCATTAACATTAGTGAATTATTCACACACCTTTATAATTTTTTTTAATTTCTTTTGAATTGAGTTTGTAAAGTTAGACATCAGCTGAAATCTAAAAGAAAATGAAAGATTCATGTGTTTGAAAGCCTAATTATAGTTCTCATTTCTGTGTTTTGTGTTTCAGGGGTTGATGGTCAGCAGCATTGGGGAGTGAATTACAGTCCTTCATATGTTTGTGCATTAAAGGGATCAACAGTGAATATGTCCTGTACTTTAAAATATCCTCATAATCATCAGCTCAGAACAGTCTTCTGGACCAAACCTGCTGTAACTGATGGAGATCCACCGAACCTGTGTTCAGACCCAGAAAAGAGCGGAAGAGTTCAGTGTGTCAGTGATTATAAAGACACTCACAGAATCACTTTGACGAGTGTAACAGAAGCTGATAAACACATCTACTACTGCAGATTCACTACAAACACTGAGGGTGGAAAATGGACGGGGATTCCTGGAGCTCAGCTGGATGTCACAGGTAGAGCTAGTGAACTCTCACAAATACACCACAGACACATAAACACACATTATGTCACCTGTTATTCCAGGAGCTCAAACAGTAAAGCAGAGCGCTAGTAATGCCAAAGTCATGGGTTCAATACCCAGGAAATACATGCACTGATGCAATGTTTAGACACTTTGGATAAAAGCAAATGCATTATTCTTTTCTAGTTTCATCCTCTTAAAATTTCAATTATTATAACACTAAATTATGTATTTTTTAGTCTGATTGTGAATCAGTGAGTTGTTGCTGTTGTCAGATCTGCAGGTGGAGACACAGCAGAGTGTGAAAGAGGGAGATTCAGTCCGTCTGATGTGTAAAAGCAGCTGCTCTCTGCCTCAACAAACAACATTCATCTGGTACAGAAACACACAGAGATTAAGTACAGGAATCATCACAGTGAATCAGCTTCAGCTGCGGTCAGTCAGTCGTCATGATGCAGGAAACTATCAGTGTGCTGTTTCAGGATATCAACGTCTGAAGTCTCCACCTGTTTATCTTCAAGTAGGGTGTGAGTACAAACTGATTCATTAACATCAGTGAATTATTTCACTTTTGTTTTATTTGAATGAGTTTGTGAGTCTAGACACCAACTAAAATCTTTGCTAGTGTGTTGTAAAAGGTGCATACAGGGTCCGGATCTCAACGCACTGCAACTGAAAAAACACATGCAAATAATAATAAAGAAAAAACACCTGCAAATTAAGAAAACATCTTCATCAACTTGACAACAAACGTGCTGCAAATACTCACAATGCGACCAAATATAGAAACACGCTGCAAACTCACAACACAAACCCAAACGTTTAAGCTAGGGAACCGCAAAGTGACAAACATGGCTGGGACATGCTTATCAATGTTTGCTCTGAAAGGTGAGATTTTTGTTTATTTTAACTTCCTGATCATACGATTCCTTTTTTTGTTGTTGATATAATTAGCCTAAATAAGCTGACAAAATACACAATTACTGTAACTGTTAAAGGTTATATAAACAGGCTAACTTTTACAACATGAATTAACAGAAAATACAAAAAACCTAATTAAAGCTCTGAATCAATTAGACATCAAGAATCAGCATATGAAACTCAACAAAAGAAGATTTTATGCTGAAATGCATGCTGGGTATCAACATAGTACAAAACTCATTCATGACTCCCAGCATGCATTGCAGTTGATCTGTTTATCTGAATTAGTTCGATGATTGTCACCATTGTTAAGGTTTATATGATGAGTGCTGATGTCTAAATCTTTCTGTATGTTTTGCCACAGAATCTTTGCATTTGTGAAACAGAACATTTACATCAGTAATGAAAAATAAACTTCAACACTTTTTAGTATTATATCTCAACTTTATCACAGCTTGACACCCATCACAAAGAGTAATCTACTCCAACTTAACTTTAAAACATCTCTTTCTTTGTTAACGCATAAGTGTTTATATTGAAACATTCTTGTAAGGACTGAAAGTGAATTCACTTAATGAAAAGCAAGAGTCAAGAGCCCAACTAAAGCAAACACTGATCACAATAATGCTGTTCTGTTGAAATGTCAACATTTTTTCAACATTAATTGCAGGTGCAAAAGTGATATTAATTCAATGCCATTAACATTGACAAATCAACTATTTTTTAAAATTGATTCAATGGTTTTCACCTGCTCTCTTGCTCTCTGGGATAGTTAAACCATGGTAACCACAAATGAACCATGGTTTTGCTACACTAGCATTGTTTAACCATGGTAATTATACAACTGTGGTTATACAAATGGCAAAAAAGAAAAGAAGAAGAAAACATGGTTACTACACTTTTACTATAATAAATGCATGGTTTTGTTGGGGTCCTCCCGTTGTGTTTCTGTATTTAGTTGTGTTGCGAGTATTTGCAGCACATGTGCTGTCAAACTGATGAAGATGTTTTCCTAATTTGCTGGTGCTTTTTCTATTTGCATGTGTTTTCTTAAGTTGCAGCGAGTTGAGCACTTTCGGCGACTTTAGGTGCAGAAGAAAACGAAAGATTTCTGTGTTTGTTGCTTTATTTATTTTCTTCATTTCTGTGTTTCAGGGGTTGATGGTCTGCTGGATTGGGGAGTGAATTATAGCCCTTCATATGTTTGTGCATTAAAGGGATCAACAGTGACATTATCCTGTACTTCAACATATACTGGGTATTATAAGCTCACAACAGCCTTCTGGACCAAAACTGCTGTAACTGATGGAGATCCACCGAACCTGTGTTCAGACCCAGAAAAGAGAGGAAGAGTTCAGTGTGTCAGTGAATATAAAGACACTTACAGTATCACTTTGACGAGTGTAACAGAAGCTGATAAACACATCTACTACTGCAGATTTAGAGATGCACAGAATAAACAATGGACAGTGATTCCTGGAGCTCAGCTTGATGTCACAGGTAAAACCAGTGAACTCTCAGAAATACACCACAGACACACTGCTGTCTTAGATTTATTAGATTAGACATGAGGGAATCAGGACATGAATTGGGTTGGATTCAAAGTCAGGTCTGAATGAGCACAGCAGTTCGTGATGCATCAACATCTGTGCCACCAGCCTGGTCTCGTGTTTATACGTAGGTATTAAATAAGCGATTCAGATTTTTAGACCCCTTAACCTACCCCTAAACCTAAACCTACCCATGTTATAGCGAAAATGCATTTTCTATCATTTTATCAATAAGCGATTTAGATTTTAGACCCCTTAACCTACCTTCAAAACCTAAACCTACCCATTTTACAGCGAATATGAAAGGATAAAACGTAAATGACCGAAATATGCAGAAAATTAACCATTTTAGTAACAATGTAGCATTAAAAAAATGTATAGTCGCTAATCCCACTCCTACCTATAAACCTAAACATTTCTGTACAGTATAAGAAAAACGTGACAGACAGATAAATGCAATTACAATCATTTATT